AAAGCCCACTCAGTCATTTTGATCCTTTACACAGGCTTTCAGGGCTTTCCCACAACTCAAATGGACTCTAGATTTTAATGGCTCCATGACATTCTGGCTAAATATTCTGCAGAAGATGTAATGACAACTAATATGGCAAAATGTTTCCCATGATATTCCCTAATTTCATTGAGGATGTTTTACGTACTTTTAGGCATTCATTATGAAACACTAATCAGCCCCTAAATTAATTTAGCTTTTACTAGGGGAAAAAAAAAAAGTGTTAATTTCTTATTATCATATTTGCTATTGCTCAGTGCATTTTCAAACAGAATAGCTCTATCATGTCTGGTAAGCACAGCTGAACTGATGTTCAGTTTACAATCCCAACTGGTCAAGTTGATGAGTTTCTGTAATATTTCATGCTCTGCATTTTTGCTGGACACCTGCTTTGCAAAGTCTTCATGGGTGTCAAAGCTGCAATCAGCACTAAGCTTGAGGTGCTAATTAATGATAGAGTTTAACTCAGAGAAATAGCAGAGGAAAAAACTATACATTCCCTCAGAGAAAAGATGTAAACCATGAGCATCAGAGAAGACATCCTTTGGGGTGAGGGAGTCATTGCAGCTACCCTCATCACAAATAAAGCACTGTGGAGGTAATTATAGGCAACATTTTCCAGCCATTTTGAAATGCAGTCTAAATCAGTACAGGGAAATATTTAATCTGTTTATCAGACTGTGATGGGAAAATAGCTACAGATTAGAGGAGGAAATGTTAGTTTGATGTTTGGCAAGTGTGTCTGGTAGGCTTAGCTTTATCATTTTATCACGGTACCAAAATAGCCCACAGTTGTTTGCTCCTGACAGGTTAGTTATGAGGTAAACCATGTGTACAGTTAAATAAAATGTATTGTAATTCCAAGAACAACATAAGAAAAAGGATAAGATTAATATTGTTTGTATCTTCATATAGCAAGAGTCAGTGGAGTTTTGTACAACAGTCACTAAATTAAACTATTTTTATAAGTAGGTGGCATATGTAGGGACATCCATTTAAACCACATTCTGGTTAGGAAAGAAATCTTACCTCACTGTAGGAGACTCAGRCTGGGATTTCACCCACTGTGGAGGGACTGAAGTTCCTGAAAAGTCAGGAACTTATTAAAGACCTGAAGAAAAGAAGTGCCCAAATAAGTATCTGTCTCGTACATTCCATTTTTCTAACAGTTAATCCTCACCCTAAATAATGGATATATTTACTGAGGGCATCTGAGACTACAGTGTCAGTAAGATTCCAGTTCTGCAAACGTAAGACTCTGCTAGGTTGCCAAAACTTAAACTATAAAGTTTTCCTGATGAACAAAGTCATGTTCTGCAGAGTTAATCAGAGAAGCAGGACTAAGAGGGATCTGAAGAGGTCACTCCAAGCACTCTCCAACTGAAAGACAGGATCAGTTATACATAAATCAGTATGTGTGCCTACTGTGTTCTAAAAGACTTTGTAAAGGTCTTTTTACACCCTACTTAGGCAACATATTCCAGAACAGAAAGCATTTCCTAATCTGTACACTTGATTTCTCTTGCTGCAATTCATTGTCCTCCAAACAATAGCCACAGTGAACTTGGAAAAGAATTTACTTCTTTTCCTCTTTTCTGATAAAATTTAGGCTTTCCAAGTCTAGTTGTCAGGTCTCTTCTCATCCCTCTTCCTCTATGATGGGAGTTTTATCATGAAACTATTATTTTTTAGAGCTTGTCTGGGTTTTACCAGTAGCCCTTTCCATTAGTCATGAATTGCATCATAGGTGGGGCTTTGCAAAGGACACCAAATTGACCACATATGCCACTGCCTCTGCAGTGCTAGCAAGGAATCTGCTCCTGTGGATCAGTTGCTGCGAGTTTCAGAAAATATTCTTGAATTCTGTTTTTCTTCTGCAGGGGTAGTAGGACCCACCAAATACATAATTGCCAAGCACCATACTACCCATGGCGTTCTAGCAGTAGAGAGAGCTATGCTAGGTCTTGTGGTTCCATTCCTGGTCAAAGAAGGACTTTCTCCCTGGTAAAAATGATTTAGCGTGTGGCCTTCTGCTGCTYACTTTTACCTTCCCCAGGTCACATCGCTTTTTGGTAAAATCAGGAGGACAGCACATAGAACTGCAAGTCSACCAGCAGCATGCTCATACCTAGAACTTATTTTCACTGGAATTGCAGAGACCTCTCTTTTAGCTAGGGTCCTCTTGGCATAATTGCCCTACCACTGTACTTACAAAACTATGAGGAAGTATGAGTGCATTATACTATAGAAAAAATAAAATTCACCTCTCTCCAAAACAGTTGTATATGTATGTATATATATTAGGAAGAAGAAAGAGGTTTAAAGAATTCTATTCCACTTTAATAMAATGGCCAGAAATAAGAGCTGTTAACAGCCTATATATCAATGAATTATTTATCAAATTAGCATTTCTTGTTGCAAAAAAAATTTCTTCCTCACTTTCTTGTGAACAAATCATCTTATACCTTTTGTATAATTTCAAAGAGTCTAAGTAACATCCTGATCATGCYGTTTGCAGAAATGAGAAAAAAATGGAATACAAAGAAGCAACATCAGCTTCATACATAACTATCTTACATATTACTCCTCAATTTCTTAGACTTTCAAAACRTATTTATTATTGTAGCTATATAGTGATCTCTCCTTTATTTGTAAATCACACTTCCACATGGTTTTCCAAACTGACATATTTCCAGATTTGCTCTSTTAATCACTCAGCTAGGGAAGGTAAGGACGCGCCATATCATGGCTTTAAATGACAGATCGATTGGCGCTCAGTGATATTTCTAGAACCAGGACTGAACACAAGGTACCTCTCTCAGGCATGTTGTTACTAATAAATTCTCTGCTCTTTTGTGTAGCTGTCCTTTTATATAAGAAAGCTTTAAAAAAACKTGCTGTAACCACTGAAAATGACCTGCTGTCATTTTTTTCAAATGACATTTGAAAAATAGATTATCCTAAAAATACAAGGTAGACATAAGCTCCTTAGCTTCCTTTCTTAAGCAACACACATTTCTTTGAACAATTTACAAAGATTATTCATTTTTTAACACTTGGCTTTTTACCTTTTCCCCTACTTGGTCTCCTAGTCTTTACAGTGTGTGATTAAATTCTGTTCATGTGCAATACAGATTCTGCAAGCACAAGCCATTTATCTGTATTGGTTCGCAGAGCTTTTCTCTATAGCTTAGTTTATTTTATTTGTCCTTAGGGAGTTGCACAAAATCTGTCAGGTTTYTTAATAAGTTTTGGTTTTTGATTTATTGAAACCTACATCCTACTATTCACTACRTCCACATTTAATGTGCCTAAAAATATTAAAATCTTGTAGAATAAAGTCCTGTAGATTTTCAATTATAATATAGGGTTAGAGAAACAACCCAAATGATCTGGAAGAACTCATGACTGCCAATTCAAGATTTGCACATATGAATAAAATGGGAGAATGTGACACCCAATTCATGGCCTATAAATTAATCACTTAAGTTGTTGCTGAATCTTTCATCAATGAACATGCCACACTAACCAAACACTTGCATTTTTTGATTTATCTGTTGCAAATTTACTGCATACAATTCATAATTTCCCCAGTGTTAGATATGCTGTACTCTGTACTTTCTGCAATATCAAATCAGGACTAAGACTTAGAACCTCCATGAGAYAGAGAAGAGGTATTTGTTAAAACCTGCAAACCAGGAATAGCAGCCAAGCAATGAGGGATCTGGGGTCAACTTACAAGGGTCTTGCATATGGAGAAGCTACTTGAGTGTAGGAGCTGTGAAAGAGGACAAGGAACCATGCAATTCAACACATGCACTTCAGCTGGAGGAGTGTTGCTTAGCTGGGAGGAAATAGGCAGAGCCAGTGCTAGCCTGTACCACCCCAATCAATTGCTAAGGGAAGGAAACCTGGATTCACAGTATCCTTCCTGGCTCCTTCTGGTTCCCTCCAAACGAGGGGCAGGATGGGACTCTCCAGATGGCCAACACAACCACGTGGTGTTTTCTATTTTGAGTCTACTCAAGGGCTAGCTGACACCTAGAGCAGGGCAGAGAGGTGTGTGAGGGATGGCACGTACTTATCTCCCTTTGGCTTCCTTTTGAGCCAAGGAGATTCAGACACCCATAATCAGCACCAGGTCATAGCCACCAGCCAGCCAGAAAAACAGCAGTATCTGCTGCTGCATAACAGCTACTTAGTGAAGTAGCTTGGAAGTGCTTCTGCTTAGTTTTGAGGCCCAAACCATGGCCTCTACCTTGTTACAAGAGGTCGGAAATACTTCTGGAAGGACATCCCTTCCCACTATGGCGTTCTGACTGCCACTACTGCCCAGTAAGAAAAAGTATTGATGACATAATCTCATTTTGGGGTTACACTATTTCTAGGAATAGCTATGTGAACTACCAGAATTAGCTTCAGCATTGAAGAGGATTGTACTATTTAAATGATCTAGATACACTGTGGTGATGTTCATGAGCTGCTAGAGAATGTATTAGGAGTGAGGAGCTATGTCTGAGCACACTCCTTCTCAAGATAAAGGCAAATGAAAAGTTCGGTAATAGTTAGAACTTACTCTTCAAAAATGTTATTCAAAAGCTCCTTGCAGAAAGCACAGCATATTCCATGTGTGCATTATGTAGTATCTTGGGCAAAGGAGTTTTGATCTTTGGGATCCACAGATGTTAGTGCTGCAGACATACATACAAGCACAAAGGCTGCTCTTTATTTTAATTCTACATTAAGGAAATACTCCTTTAGCTTTTGTATGATGGATAGAGCATTTCCTAATTAGTTTTAAAAATAAAAATTACCTACTATCACCAAAAGACTTTAGCAAAGCAGCAGGTATGAGAGATTTTTAACAATGAGATTCTACTAGTTATCTGAAAAGACTATCTTTCCTAAAGACAGGAAACCAGTTACCTCAGATATTGTCTCTGCTTGTTTCTTCCGGACAGGTTCCATGTTTTCTGCTCTGAAGCCCCCTGAAACGATCTTCAAGGTGATTTTTTGGCTTGGTTACTTTAACAGCTGCTTGAATCCAATCATCTACCCTTGCTCAAGCAAAGAGTTCAAGAGAGCTTTTATACAAATCCTAAAATGCCAGTGCCACCGTCGGAAGCAGCTGGGGTGGTGGGCCTACAGCTACAGAAACTGGAATCGGTGCTCCTTCGAACACCCCAGGAAGGACTCTCTGGAAGACACCGGGAGTTTCCTCAGTGGCAGTCAGAGGACATTATCTTCAGCATCTCCCAGCCCAGGCTACCTGAGCAGAATCAGTCACCCGCATATGGAGATGTGCACATTCCAGGAATGGAGAAATTCCAGCTCTTTCCTGAGCCCTTTACAAGAAGGCACTAGGCAGAAGGACCCATGCCAGTTCTTTACCTTCAATCTCTTACCAGAGCGCAATGGACATATTGCTGCTGGCAGCCAAGCTTCTGGCAGCAGGGACTGCGAGGCCATGTGTAACACACTGAATGGCAAAAACAACTTCAGAGCAAACATGACACTAGAATGAACAGATTCATAAAGCTGCCTGCCCGGACTCTGTTGTCCTCCTCAGACACTAACTGGGATGGTAGGTGAAAGAATGGACTGTGCAGTTTCTCAGCATGGCACAAGAAGGAAGTCAGTGAGGGAGAGGCCTGCTCCCATCACCAAAGTAGCACAGTTTGGGAAGTAACCATATTTCAAGTCAACTGTAGTCAGAGAGGCAATAGAATGCTGGGAAGGGGCCAGATAAACCCAGGGAAGAGCACAGCCAAATATTTAGATATCATGAAAGTGCTGTAGAACAGCCAAACCCGTCTGTGTATAGAAAGAATGTATAGCTATGGGGTTAGGCAGGGGGCTGCGTATGAACGTGTGTGTGTACATGTGTGCTAGCCGCATGTTTGGGTGCCCAAGAGGGGTCGTRAGCAATGCACTTGTGCAGTACTGTTTGTACCTCTGCAGCGTTCCAGTTGCCGCTGATTTTGCCTGTAAAATTCTTATTGTTGTTGTACTTCACTGTACATTCGCACTTTAGAAATTGAAAACAATGTCAAAGATTAAAGTAATTTTTCAACAATTTAAACACTTGCGCCTATGAATATAGAACTGTAATAAAGTCAGATTCTCTCATCACATGATTTTCACTTCAAAACAAAACCCTCATAGAGGTGAAGTTTGCCACTTTAACTCTTAGGATGCTGTTGAAACTCTCTTCAGTTGCTTCTCTTCCATGCTTCCCTTGTCCACAACAGATATAAGCTCCTCTATCTTTCACCATATTCTTTTTGGAAAGTTTGAAAATACCAGCTCACAATCCATATTTCAACACATTAAGAAGTGTCCTGTAAACATGCAGGCTACTAGAGCATCTGATTTCTGAAAACAACATTCATAAATCATTCCAAATCCCTCATAAACAGTGCTGTGGACACAGCACAAAAGAGCATTGACCGTTGGAGGCCCCAAATCCAATCTTAAAGCAGCTATGCAGAGCCCTTCCTCCTTTCAGCACACTTTGAAAACAGCATAGCATTTTTAGCAGTTTTACTTTGCCAGTTATGTCAGAAAAGAAACAGACAAAAACATGCAGTAGAAATTCAGTTTCATTAATATTTTTCTCCTTAATACTACACAGCTGTAACAGAATTCCTGAGAACATYTTCTAGGATAGAAGGACAYGACCTTCTTGTAGGTCGTGTTTGGACATTGTCGTTGTTTTCATCTCCTGCAAATAAGTGTGAATCATGAAACTAATGACTGAATTTTTACATGAAGTGTTGGAAATCATGAAGATTGCTATTTACCTCTTCCTTTAACTAAGGCTTGTATTAGGAGTTTTAGAGACATTCTTGGAAAGCCTGAAACAGAATGAGCCATAAACAGATGTATTGAAAATACTTAGGGTCAGTTTAACAATGCTAGATCCCAAGGGAGAGCCATTTCCTTTTGTGTCTTTGAATGTGTATTCTCCCATTAAGTTGACAGGGAGGGATGTGGCTTGTGGTTAGATCAAATATCCTGCAGCTCAGTGAGCAAAGCCAGAAAAGTCATGTTCTAAAGTCTTCCCATGGTCATATGTTCTACTGAGACCAATATAAGTACATTTTGAGTCTAATACTGATCCCATAAACCAATCTCCTATTTAAACAACTCTGTTCTGATCATAAGGAAGGTTGTAATTTCCTCTTAAAATGAAAACACTTATAAAATTTAAAAGCACTATAGAAAAGATAAATTATTTTTGCTAATTTATCACAACTCTTTACGGTTACAATAAATGACAAATGTACCATTTGGCTGGGATGTACTATCATGAAATGATCGTCTTTGGGGTTCCAAGTGGCAGAGAAATATCTTTCAACCTATTGCTAATGATTTCTGGAGCAACCTTACCTGAGTGTCCCAAGCATTTTTACTCACATTGGGCTTTGTGAAGCCTCTTATAAACTACTGTAAATTGGAAATCAACTTTCAAATCTAAGCAACTGATAGCACACTTCAGCTGAATTTTGAATTACACATGATTTGTACACTATAAAGTAAACCCAAGTATCATTTTTTATCTTTGAGACTCCCTAAATGAAACACAGGTTTCACAATAACTAGCATTCTGCTACTCCAAAGCTTTTAGCAAAGTGGCTTTCAGAGACTGATCATTTTCTTAATTAGACTCTAGTCCTAACAAACTTTCTAGTGGTATCTGTTATTATTTAAGCTCCTTTAACCAAATGATTTACTTCTCTATAACTATCTAAGAAAGCTGACTGTATACCACTGCATATCAGTGTGACCTATGGGTAGCTGTCATCTCTGTATATTTTTTACAGGTAATGGTACAAACTTAGCAAGGGAAGATCCCTTACTGCTGTTTAGAATCTACAGAAAAGAAAAACACACAAAGGTTATTTTTCTCACTAAAAAAAATCCTTTCTCTTAATACCCTAACCCTGATCAGGTAAGAAGATATAATGAGAAGATATATATTGATAAAGGTACAGATTAACACTATGCTAGTCTATGCCAGTTAGAATAGCCAGTGCTTCTAACTCTACAAATCATATGCAAAAAGCTTCCCAGTGTCAAACCCCCAGATTCGTGTCCTATCTGCCGCAGAGACCTTGGGGGAGAAGGCATCCCACAGGCAGATGGTAATGGTGATGCTTATCCCCAAGAGACCCATTGCTCTTCCGTAGGTTTGGACAGGGAAAGCTGCTGGGTGCTGCAGGGTCTCAGCACTGTGGATGCATCTGTCCTTGCTAGCCTGGTTCCTCTCACAGCGGCCACAGCCTCGCTGCTCTTCATTTGATAAAGTCATAGCGTGGGAGGTATTTTGTAGGTCCCATAAAGACTGTTCTCCTTACCCTAAGCAACACTGGTACCAGTGAGGACCAATACATGTGAGTATGAAAAACTGYATGAAGCTTCAAAAAGATCACATCATATCTCCTCATAAGCTACCAAAAATGGCTTCCTCACCTCCTTGGTGAAGGCAACTTTAATATGTAGACTTGAAACAAGGAACAGAAGGATTAAAGAGGAGAAAGGCTGACATTCTGACTTAAAATATGAATCACTTTCCAGATTTCTAAGGATAAATCTATTCTAAATATCTTCATGTTTACCACTGGAGTCTTCTTGGACCCCCATCAGGCAAAGTGAGTCCAAATGAGCACCATGTCTCCCCCCTTCCCTTTGTTAGTTCTTCTGTTGTGATATTCTTCTTTAAATAAAAAGACTATCTGATTCAGGACATCATTATGAAACCTTGTGGGACCAATACGTAGCAACCCGTTATTTTAGAACAGCCAAAATTCATCTGAGAAGCAGAATTTCTGGTATCCAGTGAAATGACAGCTGACACGCTCTGGCAGTCTGTGAGAAGCAACTAGACTCCACTGCATGTATTTTTTTTCTGCGTTACTGACAGGCCTTCTGATGARYCCATTTGGTGGACAAGTAGATTTGYCTCCAAAGAGGAGTTGCTGCTATTTAATGTAGAAGGTGCTCATAAAACACCATGAATTTCTCCAGGTTAAGCCACTATGTGGAGTTTAATCACTAACTAGGGGCTAGTACAAAGCCATTCAGTTGAGAGGCACAGCTGTAATGGCTCACAGAGTATTGTTACAGCCCAGCTGCACATAAATTAAACCCATTAGGCTTCAGTGCACTCAGCTATCACAGAAGTGCTTCTTATTTTTGAAATGTGTTATGGTAAAATCAATCGAACTGAATGAGACTGAAACTCTGGATAATTTTGTATTCTTTACTCTCTGGAAATGTGGTATTCTATTATATTTCCAAATGGGACAGGAAGAGAAGAGAGGACATTAATATTACAAAGTATCATTTTTGTCTGGAACATGTAAAAMCAGCAACTTTCTATTCAACAGATATGCTCCCTCTTCTCAACATGCTGCTCTTGACTGATACAAATGAACATAAAACTGCACGATGCGAGAAATAGTTATTCACAGAAGCTATGGTATGAAAGCAGTGGTATACAGCAACCATTATCCCTATTAGTGACCCCAAACAAGTTTAGTCTCAAGAGAAAGGACCAGATCCTGTTTTGGATATGTTCAACAACAGAATCACTTACCTTTTTTTCCAAACCACCATGCTATGGCTGACATGTTTAATACATCAGACTGTGGACTCCTGGGGGTTAACACTTCAGACAACACCGACTGGGTCCTGAAATAGTCGTAAGGAAATATTTCAGCTACAAGTAATATGAGGACAAGTCATGCTAGTTTTAATCACTTTAATGTAAGCAAAAATCTTTCCATTCTCTAGGACTTTTGGAGGACAGGAAGGGATATTCCACACCCTCCTCATGAAGCATGCTCTTGTGTAGAGTGTTAAGTGAAGATTCCCAAAGCCAGGAAAAGCACTTGAACCAGTAACATAGTGCACTGTAGTGCACTAGCCTAGGAAAAATCCAGTTTCTGCCTTAACGACTGTTTTTATGTTTTCTCTCCAGGTTGTATAATAAAATCTGCAGAGATGTTATACCGAGAACAGTACTCCTCTTCCAGACAGCAGGGCACAATACTGGCATGGCACAGTGCATCATGAGGTCCTAGCTTTACAGTGGGATGGCTTTTACAGGACACATCCACCAAAACTTGTGATCTAGGGGTTAAGGCACTCCCATAAGTAAAGAGAAAATTGAGCTCAAAAGTCATTTATATAAAATGACTACTAGGCCAAATGCCATCATATAAAAGTTGGGCTTATTTTTTATAAGGTGGAGTTTTACTTTTCCTTTCAAAGAGGAGCTGAAAGTTCCTACTCTCCGYAGAGACAAGAAAACTGTGGATCCTAAGTGCTTGAAGTTACCTTCCTGTAGCATACAGGAAGATCCTTGGAGAGGACACAATKTCAGGTATGCTCTGCATCCTTTCAGAATGCCTTTCTTCCTGATAGTAAAAAGCTTACAGCTCAGATTTACCAGGTTGTCTGTATTAGATCCCATTGTCAAASACCTCTGAGCACATTGTATACAAATCACAGACAACAGCATTTTGTTGTTTTCTGTTTTTCTCCTAGAGAACACCTAGAGAATCCAGGCTTATCTTTTCTTTATCAAATGTTTTTTTTTCCATATATTTATCTTACAGAAATTACTTTCCAGAAGGTCTATGTATAGCATTCAGTAAGTATGTCAAGTATGAAAGAAAACCTCCCAAGGCTCACACAAGTGAGGCAGCTATTTCACGTATAAGTGATTCATAAGAGCCATCTGCTCAGCTGACATTACAAATAGACAGAGATGATACATCATCTTAAGCTCTCTCTATCCATTGCTTACTATTTTAGGTTTATCCACATATATACCCTAAAAATCCTAAATTCCACATTATTCTCTTGGGAAATGTAATTAGTGGTATGTCAACAAAATGGGGGAGATGCTTCTCTCTGAACGCATGCTAATGACAAGATCAGGAACAAAGATTTTTGTGGTAAATCTTTTACACCCATTTTTCTTCCTCTGTAGATGTATTTGTGTCAGCCAGCTGAGAAAAAACATGATATTTCAAAGGTATGTGAACTAATAAAGTTCACAAGATATTTCAAAGGATGTGAACTTTATTAGTTCTGGACAGTGCGCAACTTTAACATTTTCAGAGAAGCAGAGAATGAAATCTAGATATAAAAATAGATGTGGTTTAGCCTGTTCACAGAAAATTCTGAATTCAGGAACAAACTGAGTCCTTTTTCTCATATATTAGGCAAAGCTGCCTTCACCTTCAGTTACAAATATATGAATATACATGGATGTTTGTGAATAAAATGACTCATTGGCTTGCATGATTCTTTACTGTGGTACTTTAAAGAACTTAGCCTCACACAATCATAAGGCCTGTCCATACATCTCTTAGGTTTCCTCCTCATCCTCTTGTTAATAGCCTTTGAAATTCTACACTAATTTCAACCAAATTGACCCAAATCTTATATTAGATTCACTTAGAGTATACAGTTCTAATAAAGCCTTTGCCTGAAACATTTTTTCTAGTTCTCTAGTCATTCACAATTATATGCTTACTGTTTTGATCAAGCAGTAGCTTAGTGTTGAAGCTGCATTTTGGTTTCTTCACAGAACCAAAGAACTTCATGCAGATTACAAAYATATCTCAGTCACTTCACTTTCTCATTAGAGTCATAAAGGGTATGAGCCTAAAACCAAGAGAAAAAAACAGCATGCTCTGAATCAAAGTCATTCTCTGCAAGGCAAAATTGATTTAACTGAAACATATAACATATACTGTGGTATACTTGACCTGATGCAAATACTTTATTATCTATGTTAATAATTAAAAATATAAATAATTTTACAACTGCTTAATAGTCCACCTAAACATAGTCAGATTTCATATGTCAGGACAAACAGGCTGACTAACAGGCCCACTGTAGAATGTGGAAATTATGCCTATTTTAGAAATCATTAATTCAAAATTTCAATAATGCGAAGAATATCTGCAAGGAGAGAATTCAGCGATGACTAATACCATCTGCCATTCTGCTATTTCTTCTCCACTGTAGGATTATAGAGCATCCTTTTTCTAATTGTTTACATACAGAATTCATAGCAAGTGTGTTCTATTTCATATGCTTTTAAGTTAGTACATCTTTTCTGTTTTTACCTTTGAGAAAATAATTAAACATACTAGGTACATCTGAGAAAAAGCACTGGTTCAGGGTCTTTCAGAGGGCTGGAAGGTGACAGGGAGAGGAAATCTGTGCTAGTACTGAAAATTTCTTATTTCAAAATATATTAGCTTGACCAGCAAAGAACAGGCTCTCTTTTAATCCTATGCTCTTTTGTAAGGCTCCATCCATAATCCAGAGAAAAAGAGAATGGATGTTTAAGAGTAAAAACTCTCCCAATTTCTTTGATAAGTCAAAGTGAAAAGTGGACACGATAAAACTTTTATTTATAGCTGTGATTAGAAAGTCTCTAATTGCCTATTTCACAATTTCCTTTAAAATGTTCTTTGGGAAACACAATAATTTGATTCCACTGAGACTTGTGTACAAATGTTTAACTCTAGCAAGGAATCTGAACTCTTCATGACCTCTGGAAAATGGTCATTATTTTTCTTTGCTTGATTTGTTGAGATTAGAAAAAAAATCTCCCCCCAAACTAAATTTAGCATATGCTCTGTAGCCTGAGGTAATTATGGAACAGTTCATCCTTTTTCTTTTGGATGGTTAAGAGTACTAAGTGGGAGCTACTACTACTGTAGTACTACTACTGTACTAAGTGGGAGCTTCAGCACTGATTTCAGTAAGAACTGGATTACATTTAAAAAGGAAAGGAATGGGCATCTTCACATTGGAGATCCARCATCGCCATCTATTGGGCTCATATTCTGGTGAGAGTTATAAATATTTCATTTTATCTGAGTTGGCTGAATTTTACAACTACAAAAGTCAGAAAGACCTTTTTTTTCTAAGGTAGAAAGAGGCTTCAGATTTCCAGTCTTCCATTTAAATCAAGTCACTCACAGAAGCCATGCATTCCTGATGCTAAGTTGGTTTTATCTTTAAAAAGACTTTTTTTTATAGTAAAGCCCAAGAAACTCCAAAAGGAAAGTTCAGATGTAAGCTGGCAGAAAAAAGTCAGGTAASTAAATTCTGCAGGAGCCTTTAAAAATCTCCCTCTCAAACCTCATGTACGTAAAGTGGCAATTTGGGTTCTACACAAATTCCTATGTATTAAAGCGCTATCCTATTCTGAAAAGCAGCAGCAAGTCCTGTACTCCCTGCAGCCCACCCCTAAGAGTCCATGTGTGGCCCGTGCCACAGGCTATGGGGACAGTATGTGTCTTGTGTCTTCCCGTCTTCCCCATGTTGTGATCATACCAGCATTGCAGCCAGGGTGGCTTGAAATCCTTATGGTCTTAGCAGCCACATTAAGCAATGGTTGCTGGGGCTGTCTAATCTACATTGTTCATGTCTGAAGATGCACAAGTCTGACTTTTTTCTCAGGAACACATGCTTTTAAAACACACTAGGTATGACTAGCCACAGAAATCATAAGCCCCACTTGCACTGGTACTCCCCCTGCAAAGCCCACACATTCTGTGTACAACATGAGGCCTGTATACACGATGCTCAGATCGTGGGCCTCACGTTGGCTCTCCCTTGTGGTCATCTGCTGTAAATGTATTAGTATCTGCCAATGTCTGAAGACTAAACAATTCCAATGCCTTTCTYCCTATCCTATAGCTGTTTGAATCCAGGGTTTTGGTTCATGAGTGTAAAAAAACATGCTCTTTTAAAAATCTAAAATGTCCTCCTCCCTTCTGCTGCTTTCTTGTCTTTTTTAACAGAATACAGTTATAGTATTAACAGTTGTAAAAAGAAGACAAAAATCCAAGTTCTGAATCTTGAAAGCGTTGTGAAGAGCAAAGAAGGTCTTGCCGAAGGAAAGTATGGAGATGCAGAGTTTTTCTCTGGCTTAACCTCTTCAGCTAACGCCTGGCTCAAGGGAATTGTTGGGGTATTAAAGCATCCCACTGCAGATACACCGTGACCCTGGGTACTGCTGTGCGCTTACTCCAGAGGTAAACTCTGTCAAAACAGTGGGTAAATCTCACCAATACAAGCTCAGGCTTCCATAACCAAATTCTTATCCAAACATGTCTACTTATTCAGGATTTTATGTTCTTCATTTTTTCAACAGGTGTTCTGTTAAATAAACATTGTTGCTCTAAAAAATCCCTAAGCACCAAGAAGATTAAACAATGACACCGTGATCCCATTTTTGTATATATACAAACTTCAGCTATTCATACACTTCCACTTAGAGAAATGAATTACAGGTTTTAAAAGACTGATTGTAGCTGTAACATGTTCTGTGTTGGCACAGTTAAATTTATTGGTAGAAGCTGACCACTGCCCTATGTCCTCCAGGGTAAGTAATTCTTACTAAAAAGTTTATGTTTGAAAACACTGTACAAGTATGTTTATATATTTTTCAAACATGAAGGAACCTATGTACAAAACACTTTAATGAAGAAAGTTAGAGGGGGGAAAAAAAAGGGAAAGTGAGACCTACAGTGCTAAGTCAGTGCTTAGGAACCTTAAAGGCTCAAGTTMCACACTCATCAGCCACATGGACAGCTAACAGAGCTTTAGCAGTTCTGGCTTTTCATTTGCAAGGTGGAGGATTGGTCCCCCAGTGGCGACAGAGATCTGCAGTTCTTCTGGTGGGTGTTTAATCTCTCAATACCAGGAAAGGTTCTGGGCTTTTAATGTTGGCACTCACAAGCACTTCCACAAGGATATTTTATTCAGACTTGAATGACTTGAATTCAGACTCAACCGCAGTGCAGCTCGCTCGGGGTTTACCACAGGATGAACCAACGGATCCTGACGGATACGTATATATATATATATAAATCTGCTATTTTTGAACGTATTTCTTTATATGAAGCATCAATGAGATGTTATATTTGGCAAAAAGGGAGTACATTTAAGCATAACTGTCTTGATAAGGAAAACCTGCCACTTATTTTGGGTGAGCAGCCCCACAGCAGGGGTGCCAAAGGTGGCAGGCAGATTTTGGATAGCGCTCAGAAGGGCTGGCTAGGGACTGGAGCTGGGAGCCATGGCATTTTTGAAGAGCAAGGTAAGTTTGGGACTCTGTGGAACTTATAAGCCCCTGCTTCACATAGAGGCAAGATTAACATTGTGCCACAGTGCAAGGCATTTTGAGCATAAACTCAAAACTTWTAGGGCCAGTTTTAGGGTTTTGACTTTTAGGGTCAAGTTTTTATTCGTAAACAAACTCTTGTCTGGAAAATGGAAATACAGACCATCAGTCTGCCCTGTTGTACTTATGATTCTTCTTTGAGGTAAAACATCTTACCTTTCTCCTCATAGTCAAGTGACTTTTAAATACCAGTTGCATGGCTTCATTTTCTACCACGGCTGTAATCATTTCCTCTTTTTCTTTCTCAGAAACATTTTCCCTAAATCAAAATAAATTGCACATTTGCAGAAAATAAACTGCACAAAAGCCGATTCTTATGGGCTAAATCATTGCAGCTGGAGTTGCAGTAGGGTGCAACTGACAGCAGATGCTGGAATGCTGCACGGACCTGCTCTCAGGTCACAGACGTGTGCTGCGCTATACAGACGATTCCTTTTTTTTTTTGTACATCTACCCAGATTTGCTGGTTCTCTCCTCACATCCGTGTGCCCTTCCACGGCAGGTGGCAGTTGTGCGGGATACAACAGGCAGAACGCCCCTTCTTTGCCTGAAACACACCCGCCCCGCGCGCACAGTGTCTAACGGTCCTAACGGCCCTAACGGCCGGGCCGTGACGTCGCCCCCTACGTCACGCCCCGCCGCGAGACTACAGGCCCCAGCCGCCCGCGCGCGGCGCGCTCGTCATGGCCGGCGCGTCAGGAAGCGGCCGCGGGGTGAGAGGGCGGCGCGGGCGGAAGGAAGGGAAGGAACGAGCAGGTCTCTGCGGCGGCGCGCGCTGCGCGGGGGCCCGGCCCGCCGCCGGGGTCTCGTCTCGCCGCGGCGGCGGCTGAGGCGGCCGCAGGGCTTTTCTGCGGGGCCGGGCGGCGCGGGGGCCCTGCGGGGAGCCGGGGGGTGCGTGGGGCAGGGACCGGGGCCGGGTGAAGGGAGCTGGCCTGTGGCTCTGCAGTGGGATGGAGTGGCCCGTGCTGGTCCCCGTGGCCTCTGAGGGCGTCACAGTTATCTGAGGGTCAAACYTCAAGTTCCTCAGTAGTCATCAGTTGACAAGGCTCCTATACTAGTCTCACTGAGGGTTATTTCTCTCTCTTTCCTAAAATCCTACCCCCTTCAAGGAGTCTGACATGGAAGAATCTAAAGACTCAAGGCCGCCTGAAGAGTCACTCCATAACTTAACGCTTTCTGATGAAAAGTCTTCTGAGAGCACCAGTTCTTTGGCAGCTGGTCCTAAAGAGGCACAGAATCTGATAAACACTGAGCGTGGGTGCACGTCAGCTTCAGCCTCGGAGCCCCCGGCAGAGGATGAGAGCTTCCATGACTGTCATGACTCCTTTGAGGCAAAAGAACCCAAAGCGGATGATGAAGGGGATTTACAGAACGATGATGAGAATAGCTCAAGGAAGCAGACAGAGCTAGAGGAAGAATACTTACTAGAACTAGAAAAAGATATGCCAGAAGAAGAAAAACAGGTAATACAAAGTGCTAAAGTTGACCATAAAAGACACATTTTCAATGTCACCCTTTTGGATGATCTGTGACCCTTCTGGCATAAAAGTTAGCATGTAAATAGGCCTTTAAAATTCCTTAAATGCCCAATTTTACCATTCTTAATCTTTTGCTTTTGGCAACAAGTATTTTAGTTAGCATTTTGGTTCATCAGATTCCTTTGGAGATTTTTTTTTTATGTGCTGCTGAGCTCGCAGTGTGTAGTTACTGTAACCAAAAGAGATTATGAAACAAAAATCAGCTCATTTCTTGTTTAGCTTGTGTACATTCATTGTTTTCCTCTGATTTGCTGCAAGGTGCTTTACAGAAACTCAGAGGAGGTTTCAGGGTAGTTTTGACATTTGAAAGGCTTGTTTGTGTAGTACTTTCAACTTTAACCTGAATTAACTCCTTTTAGATTAAAAAGGATTTAAACAAAACAGTTTAAACACATAAATATTTGGTGAGGATATTTTGTTTTTTCCTTGCTTTGAGTGCCATTGCTCTGGACAAAACATTGGATAACAAACTGAATATTGTGATAGAAATGGTGCATCTCACGGGGGAAGCCCAACAGCCCCCTTAATCCTTTCTCCTTCCCCATAAATCTTTGAGTGAATCAGTTAGGGATTTTCTTGGACCGTCAATCAATATTGCCAAGTGACAGTAGTTTGTTTTTAGAGTTCTAAGATAGACATAGTCACCTTGTATTTACAAAAAAAAAAAATTGCTTTCTAACTTTGAGAAAAATTATAAATCCGTTTCAGATGTATGATTCCTCTTTTTGCAACCTGTGTTCACAAGTGTAGGGGAAGTAAGAACGATAAACTAAAATGCACATCCTGATATACCATTCGTATTAAAGTATTTTTTTTCCCCTAACTTCTGAACACAGTATTTCTGGGAAGTTGGGAAGAACAGAATTACGTAGTGTGGTGTGTCAAACAGATTGTGCTTCAAAGAGCTGATCCAGCCTTTGAGAATTTCGTTGAATTATCTCAACAAGCAGCTAATTATACTTAAAATTTGAATATTGATGAAAGCACTGCAAGAGCTTTCCAAGCTTCACTTGCCACTTTCCAAGAGGCAAGTGAAATCTAAATTGTAGGTTAAATTTCTTTGCACTAGTTTATAATCAAGTAGTTGCTCGGGTAGTTCCCTTGATGTTGGAGTGTTCTCATGATCAAAGAACACCAGTGAAGGTAAAGGTAATTTTTCACCTGTATTGTATAGACAACAGTGCATACAGATAGTCACACTAACGTGGTTTTTGAGACAGAAAAGCAGTATGGCATTTGGAGGGGGAGGAGAACATATTAAATTCTTGAAATAAGAATGAGATTAAATGTAACACTTGTCTGCTGCTTGACCTTAGGAAAATCACTTCATATCTCACTTTCTCTCTCCATMTGTATAAATGGGCATAATGATACTTGCTGTTTGTAGTTCTTTGATATCTAATAATGAATAACTGAAAAAAATTCAAGAGGTTATCTGGTGCATCCTTTGCCTCGAGGCAGAATCAGCCATACTGATGTCATTTCTGACACATATGTCTCTTGCTATTAAGGACCTCCAGTGACTGACTGCCTACACAAGTTATTTGAGTGTTTTGCTATCCTTACAGTAATAAAGCTTATACTTGGCCTGTTTATTAACCATATGTAGGAAGGGGGAACCTTCTACATACATAGAATCAGAGTAACTTAGACTGGAAGTAACCTGCTTAGAGGTGGATCAGCTGGATCAGGTTTTCCAGAGCTGTGTTTGAGTGTTGAGCATTTCCAAGCTTAAAGATTCTACAGCCTCTGTAGGGCACTGTTCTGATATTCAGCCACCCTCCTAGCAGAAGTCCTTTTCCTTATGTGTAATCTGAATTTCCAGTATTGTGACTTATGACAGTTGGCCCTTATCCTTGTTCTGCATGCCTACTGGAAGTCTGGCTCAGTTATTTTCTAGCTACAGTATTTTCCCTGAGCAAACTTTTCTCAGTTCTGACAAACACAGTTCTCCTAGGCCTGCATGTTAGTGTCACCGTAACTGTTATTACCCTGGCAATATTTTTACTGTGAACTTTGTAGGCCATAGAATTTTCCAAGCCGAGCATATATATACACAGTCCTAGAAATCAGCTAGTTTTCCTCTAACAAAATATTGTTGGTATCTGTCATATACAGAGCTCAAGAATTCTACAGATGAAAGATGAATGAGAAGCTTACAGCAGCTGTTACAACTGCTGTGATAACCCATACACATGTGCTTGTTTTGCATCACCTTACATTCTCTTTTTAGTAGAACCAGGGTGTTCCTGGTTCGGTTGTTCCTGAATTTGAACTCTAACTCTATCAATTACCATGAAATTGATGCCTACAAATTTTATTTCATTTTTAAAATGAAACTTTCTATATTTTCTACAAGTTCTAAGGATATGTCCTTCAGTTCTGTTCCAAGTACAACTTCTGTATGTCCATTTATCCAGATTTCTTCAAACACTTTTAACGTCCTTCTTGATACTAAAAAGGTTATTTCTGAGATGAAGGGTAGTAGCACAATTTTTTTTTTCAGCTGGAGAAAATGAGACTGAGTTACGCAGAGCTTGTTTATTTGGCTGTGTAGGCTGTGACGAGGCGCTCAGCAGCAGCGCTGCGTTGGCTGCTTAGGTAGTGCTTATTCGTCCTTCTCGACCTCTGCAGCCTCCTTTGTTGTGCAAGCACCTGTGTCTGCCAGTGTGCAGGGAAGCAGCCATGGGCACTGATTCAGACCAAAAAAAAAATGCTGTATTTTTTAGATCAAAGACATTGCTGCCTAAAGTAGACATCAAATGTCAGCTTCATGATGGCATCTATTTGCGTATAGATACACTTTCTTCAAGTAGATTACTTGCCCAAGTAAGAAAAACTTTGTATGAACTGTAGTTGCAGCAACAAACATAAGTTATGTACTTGGGTCATGCAGTTCAGTGATAGCCTGGCTCTATCTAAACGATGCAGCCATACCTCTACTGTATTTTTCTTTTTTAAACTAAGACCACTTGCATTTTAACTGTTGCATTTAGATTACTGTTTTTGAGTTTTCAGATAGTGAGGCTGTAGCAAAGAAAGCTTTCCCAATTTATCCCGAAGGAGCAGGGGCAGATTGCMGTGTTCAGTCTGTGTTTCTGTGTATCCATGCGCAGGCTTTCACAGCAGCAGCTCACTGCAGAAATTCTTACCCACGCAGAAGCTGCTAGAGATGAAAGGGAAGGAGCAATTGGTTGTGTATTTTCTTTCAGTTATAGTTTCATAGCTGTGTACAGTAGCTATGAAGTAGGAATTGCTTCCAGGGAAATGATGTCACAAGAAATCAAGTCTTCTTATACAAAGAAGTAAAATGAGACCTCGAAGGGAAGACTTTATTAGGACATAGACCTGCAACAAATATTCTGAAAAAACAGATGTAGCAAAGACAAGAGTCAYGTTACTTGCGTGGACTTAAAATGAGCTTTTTAAGAACTGTGCAGCTTGAAACAAAATTCTTCTTCCTAAGTTTTGGGTTTGTTTAAGCATGCTGATTGCAGCTTCAGCAGAGCCACTGAGCAGTAAATTGCTTTTGATGCATTACAAACAGATTTTCTGGTTAGCTGTCATTGACAGTGATGGCTTTGACGTTGCTCTAGTCTGCAGAATTAATCAGAAGACACCCAACAGCTGTTACATGGTAATTGTTTCAGTCTGACCCAGCCCTCTTCTGGAGGGACAGCCATTAATTATCAGTTTATCCAGCAACAAGATTTTGAATCCCGCGTGCTCTTCCATCATGGCAGATGTTGTCTTGTTCTTTGGACCTTGCAGGACAAAGAGTTAAGCACCAGAAGAGCTTAAGAAAGCTCCTGTGTTTGATATAGTGCCTTCCTTTCTAGCTGATAAAGATCCTGGAATAAATGGCTAATACTCCTCAAAAGCAGCTCCCTTCCATGGTCTGTTCCATGTGCTTTGGAGCTGCAGCTGGCTGTAGTTCTGCTTAACTTCTATCTAAACTCTGGTAAACCTGTCTGTGAGAGAAAGAACACGGGTCTAGTAAAGGACATTCTTTGTTAGCGTATCCTTAGTGAAAAAATAAGTGATACTGTTTACTGAGCAAGAGCAAAACTTTCTTAATTACACCTGTGATGTTGTGCAGAAGATGTTTTCTCTGGGCTAAATCACACACACACACACACACACACACACACACACACACACACACACACACACACACACATTGCTTCAGGCTGATCACATTGCTCTTCCATAAATTGCATCTTCTGTGTAGAAATTGCATTTTCAGGGTTTGAAGCGAGAAGATTTAACCGTGATTTTTCTGAAATGGCTTCTGAGGTGTAGTAATTCATTTCAGCATTTGATGTTTTCCTAGTTCCAGGCATCTGTCCAGAATATAGTGTAGTGACCTTTACTCCATCGAAGATCAGCTAGTTTCTCTGTTTTCTGTAGAGTATACAAAATAAAAACTAAGGTACAAAATGGAAGACAGGATATAAAGAAACTAGTTGTGATTTAGAGCAGATTTCAGGTATTGGTCACTAGGAGATGATCTAAACTGCACTGAGAAAGAATTAAGTGAGAGGACCAGTTTTTAACACGTGGGACAAAACGCAAGCGACTGTACAGCAGTACAGCAGTGAAGTGTTGGCAAGCACTGACCAATGCAAATAAGGAATATATCTTTTGTTTACCTTTCTCATAAGCATTCAAAATTCATTCTGTAGTGATGACACTTGCAAGACTACTGAGTTTTGAAGGGATTACAGTGTAGTCTTGTGAAATGTAATAAATGATTTAATTATTAAAATAGTCTTTCTTAACCTGAATCTGGTATACAGTATAGCAGCAACATTAAGTAATTTGTTTTGGTCAAATCATAGTAGGAGAAGATGAATTTTTAGTTGCAGCTGTCTGTCTTTATCGAGAACCTGGATAAAAGCTGATGTCTCTCTGTATAATTTATA